TACGTTCGGCGCTCGATCGCGCTGTATGAGACAGGAAAACATAGCATGCAGACATTAGCGACAGGTCTTACAGGCGGAAAAGGCTTGCCAAAAGAAAAAAAAAACACACCACAACATCTCTTCTATTGGTGGAAAACTTCACCACAACAACCAATCCAAAATTATATGGTGACTGATTGACAAGGGGCGGGCGCTTACGTTCTTCCTGCAACATGAGAAGGGAGGGAGGGACTCTCAGCAGGGATGCAGTCTGGGACACGTAGTTGCAAACCTAGCGACTTTGTTGTTAGATTCAATGACTTTTCAGACACCCTAACGACTTTTTTTTTAGAAAGAAAGGGACTTTTATCGACTTCTTCTGGAGTTTAGAGACTCTGACATGAAGCAGGCTTTCCTTACTGAGGAGTTAGCAACGCTGCTAAGGGTGCAGAGCCACACATGCGCTCAGAGCTCTGCATGGGAGACTGAAGCTGACAGAGCTGCAGCAGTTAGCAGGTTTCACCCTCAGAGACCACCAGGGGTTCATGTTGAGGCATTTTAATTTTTTTTTTTTTTTGTGCCATAGACACTGTCAGCACAATCTGCAGTTACACTAACAAAAATGCTGCAAAAAACAAAGAATTATGGAAAAATTACACATGGACTGACATAGAGGAGGATCTACACAAGTTTTTTACATCATGTTTTACATCATGCATCATTTACATCATGTTTTTTTGTAGTGGCATAAATAAAAAGTGACATTTGTGAGACTATACAGTGTTTTGTAAATAATTTTACAAAGAACGCCTGGGCCATTGCCTGCATTTTGATGTAAATAGAGGTAAATTACTATGTTCTTTGTTAAAAATTTGCATATGTTTTGAAGTTTACAATTTTTATTTGAAGTTTAAGTTTTAAAAACAGTTCATCAGACATATTTGTGGTTTAATTTCACATTAATTTCCATATTGTATAAATGACTGGAAAAAACTTGAGCCCCTGCCCCTGTATAATCATGTGCACGTCCCTGTTCTAGCTCCAAGGTGAATCTTCACTGCTCATGTTCTCCTCAGAAGTAGTCACCTCACTCTCCTCAGGTTACTGTACACATGCACCAACTATCTGCTTCAGGTTTGGATGGAGCTTCATGGTTGTCTTTTGGAGAAATGAACAGTCAAGTTGTGTTTGAAATTTGATTTTTTTCAGGGGCAAAAGGAAGCCTCTGCATTCTTGTCAAATATGTAAACAGCATGTTTTTGCAGGTGCTAAAAAACAGACTCTGAGTGTGTGTGTGTGTGTGTGTGTGTGTGTGTGTGTGTGTGTGTGTGTGTTGGCGTGTGTGTATATGTGTGTGTGTCCGGCAGTACTCTGTACTCCTGCAGTGGCCAAAAAGACTTTTAAGAATGTGGATTTTTGGGTCATCTTTGGCGCCCCCTAGAACTGCAGTACTCTGTACTCCTGCAGTGGCCAAAATGACTTTTAAGAATGTGGATTTTTGGGTCCTCTTTGGCGCCCCCTAGAACGTAAACCGTGGGGTGCAGCGTCATGATTTTTACAACTTTGAATGGCCATGGGGTGTGGATTGGCCTGAGCAAATTTGGTATCAGTGGGACGAAAGCCTTAGGAGGAGTTAGCCACATTCCAATGTGTGCGAATCGGCAAAAAATGCGAAATAGCCCTTTAACCATACATTTGACAGATACGTGCCTATTGACTTTTTTGTAGATCTTATTGAGATACACGTGATTGTCAAATTGTGTGTCAATATGACAAAGTGTATAGGCGTGACACTCAACAATGTGTATTTTTACCTTAGGAGACAAGAAAAAATGGACTTTTTTCTCCTGCCATGGGGGGGCGCTCTTTTGGGGAGTAAAAATTCCTTCACAAATGTGTTGATGGCTGGACATTGCATCATCCTAGAAAACTTGGAGGCCAGTGAGGACAAAAATAAAAAGTTATAAGACTTTTAAGAATGTGGATTTTTGTGTTATCTTTGGCGCCCCCTAGAAAGTAAACCGTGGGGTGCAGCATCATGATTTGTACAACTTTTAATGGCCATGGGGTGTAGATTGGCCTGAGCAAACTTGGTGCCGGTGGAACGAAAGCCTTCGGAGGAGTTAGCGAAATTCCAATGTGTGCGGATCGGCAAAAAAAGCGAAATAGCCCTTTAACCGTACATTTGGTAGATACGCCCGCACTGACTTTTTCGTAGATCTTATTGAGATACACATGTGTGTCAAATTTTGTGTCATTTTGACAAAGCGTACAGGCATCAGGTGAGTTTTCACCATAGGGGGCGCTATGGTGCCATTTTTCATTTTTTTGTTTGGACGACTTCAGAATATCAAATTTTTCACCAGGCCCGGTCGTCCTGCCAAATTTCCTGAGTTTTCGCCAGTGGGAAGTGGGCCATTTTCCAGTTTAAAGCGGAGGAAAAATAACGAAAGAAGAATCCATCAGGAACAAGAGGGCTCTCGCAGCTGCTTAGCAGCTACGCTCGGGCCCTAACTAGGGCCCCGTTGGGGCACTGGCGGGCCCGAGCCGTGTCACGCCGCCCCCAGCACGACCGCCTCCCCCACCCGATCGCGTCACACTCAAGGTCCAAAGATGGTGTGCGCACTTGTTTGTGGTCATTTACCATTATAATGAACGGGAGGCGCAGTTTCTACCAAAACGCTCGCTGCAGAAAAACTCCATGTCCTATTTGAAAAAAGTCTGGACCATGAGTGAGGGCACAAACACAGCTAAGATATATCCAAATGGCAAGTTGCTCCTCCTTTCGCTTTTGCCGAGAGAGCAGTGCGTTTGAGCCATTGAATGATGAACAGGAAAAACTTGACTTCATTCTCCTGCCATGGGGGGGCGCTCTTTTAACGAGAAAAAACTCCTTCACAAATGTGTTGATGACTGGACATTGCATCATCCTAGAAAACATGGAGGCCAGTGAGGACAAAAATAAAAAGTTATAAGACTTTTAAATATGTGGATTTTAGGGTTATCTTTGGCGCCCCCTAGAACCTAAACCGTGGGGTGCAGCGTCATGATTTGAATAACTTTTAACGGCCATGGGGTGTAGATTGGCCTGAGCAAATGTGGTGCCGGTGGAACGAAAGCCTTCGGAGGAGTTAGCGAAATTCCAATGTGTGCGAATCTGCAAAAAATGCGAAATAACCCTTTAACCGTACATTTTACAGATACGTGGCCATTGACTTTTTCGAAGATCTTATTGAAAGACACGTGTATGTAAAATTTTGTGTCAATACGACAAAACATACAGGCGTAGCACTCAACAATGTGTATTTTCACCTTAATGGACAAGAAAAAATGGACTTTTTTCTCCTGCCATGGGGGGGCGCTCTTTTGGCGAGTAAAAATTCCTTCACAAATGTGTTGATGGCTGGACATTGCATCATCCTAGAAAACTTGGAGGCCAGTGGGGACAAAAATAAAAAGTTATAAGACTTTTAAATATGTGGATTTTACGGTTATCTTTGGCGCCCCCTAGAACCTAAACCGTGGGGTGCAGCGTCATGATTTGAATAACTTTTAATGGCCATGGGGTGTAGATTGGCCTGAGAAAATGTGGTGCCGGTGGAACGAAAGCCTTCGGAGGAGTTAGCGAAATTCCAATGTGTGCGGATCGGCAAAAAATGCGGAATAACCCTTTAACCGTACATTTGACAGATACGTGCGCATTGACTTTTTTGTAGATCTTATTGAGATACATGTGTGTGTCAATTTTGGTGTCATTTTGCCAAAGCGTACAGGTGTTACACTCAACAATGTGTATTTTCACCTTAGGGGACAAGAAAAAATGGACTTTTTTCTCCTGCCATGGGGGGGCGCTCTTTTGGGGAGTAAAAATTCCTTCACAAATGTGTTGATGGCTGGACATTGCATCATCCTAGAAAACTTGGAGGCCAGTGAGGGCAAAAATAAAAAGTTATAAGACTTTTAAATATGTGGATCTTAGGGTTATATTTGGCGCCCCCTAGAACCTAAACCGTGGGGTGCAGCGTCATGATTTGAATAACTTTTAATGGCCATGGGGTGTAGATTGGCCTGAGCAAATGTGGTGCCGGTGGAACGAAAGCCTTCGGAGGAGTTAGCGAAATTCCAATGTGTGCGGATCGGCAAAAAATGCGAAATAACCCTTTAACCGTACATTTGACAGATACGCCCGCACTGACTTTTTTGTAGATCTTTTTGAGATACATGTGTGTGTCAATTTTTGTGTCATTTTGACAAAGCGTACACGCGTGACAGTCAATAGTGTGAATTTTCACCTTAGGGGGCGCTATGGAGCCATTTTGCATTTTCTTGTTTGGGCGACTTCGGAATATCAAATTTTTCACCAGGCCCGGTCGTCCTGCCAAATTTCATGAGTTTTCACCAGTGGGAAGTGGGCCATTTTCCAGTTCAAAGGGGAGGAAAAATAACTAGGGCCCCGGTGGGGCACTGTCGGGCCCGAGCCGCGTCGCGCCGCCCCTAGCGCGACCGCCTCCCCCTCCCGATCGCGTCACACTCAAGGTCCAAAGATGGTGTGCGCACTTGTCTGTGGTCATTTCCCATTATAATGAATGGGAGGCGCAGTTTCTACCAAAACACTCGCTGCAGACAAACTTCATGTCCTATTTGAAAAAAGTCTGGACCATGAGTGAGGGCACAAACACAGCTATGATATATCGAAATGGCAGGTTGCTCCTCCTTACGGTGTTGCCTGGAGAGCGATGCGATTGAGCCATTGAGCGATGGGCAGGGTTAACTTGACTTTTTCTCCTGCCTTGGGGGGGGATGTGGATTCCTTTAAGAATGTGGATTTTTGGGTCATCTTTGGCGCCCCCTAGAACGTAAACCGTGGGGTGCAGCGTCATGATTTTTACAACTTTGAATGGCCATGGGGTGTAGATTGGCCTGAGCAAATTTGGTGTCAGTGGGACGAAAGCCTTAGGAGGAGTTAGCCACATTCCAATGTGTGCGAATCGGCAAAAAATGCAAAATAGCCCTTTAACCGTACATTTGACAGATACGCGCACATTGACTTTTTTGTAGATCTTATTGAGATACATATGTGTGTCAATTTTTGTGTCAATATGATAAAGCGTACAGGCGTGACAGTCAATAGTGTGAATTTCCACCTTAGGGGACAAGAAAAAATTGACTTTTTTCTCCTGCCATGGGGGGGCGCTCTTTTGGGGAGTAAAAATTCCTTCACAAATGTGTTGATGGCTGGACATTGCATCATCCTAGAAAACTTGGAGGCCAGTGAGGACAAAAATAAAAAGTTATAAGACTTTTAAATATGTGGATTTTAGTGTTATCTTTGGCGCCCCCTAGAACCTAAACCTTGGGGTGCAGCGTCATGATTTGAATAACTTTTAATGGCCATGGGGTGTAGATTGGCCTGAGCAAATGTGGTGCCGGTGGAACGAAAGCCTTCGGAGGAGTTAGCGAAATTCCAATGTGTGCGGATCGGCAAAAAATGCGGAATAACCCTTTAACCGTACATTTGACAGATACGCGCGCATTGACTTTTTCGTAGATCTTATTGAGATACATGTGTGTGTCAATTTTTGTGTCATTTTGCCAAAGCATACAGGTGTTACACTCAACAATGTGTATTTTCACCTTAGGGGACAAGAAAAAATGGACTTTTTTCTCCTGCCATGGGGGGCGCTCTTTTGGGGAGTAAAAATTCCTTCACAAATGTGTTGATGGCTGGACATTGCATCATCCTAGAAAACTTGGAGGCCAGTGAGGGCAAAAATAAAAAGCTATAAGACTTTTAAATATGTGGATCTTAGGGTTATCTTTGGCGCCCCCTAGAACCTAAACCGTGGGGTGCAGCGTCATGATTTGAATAACTTTTAATGGCCATGGGGTGTAGATTGGCCTGAGCAAATGTGGTGCCGGTGGAACGAAAGCCTTCGGAGGAGTTAGCGAAATTCCAATGTGTGCGGATCGGCAAAAAATGCGAAATAACCCTTTAACCGTACATTTGACAGATACGCCCGCACTGACTTTTTTGTAGATCTTATTGAGATACATGTGTGTGTCAATTTTTGTGTCATTTTGACAAAGCGTACACGCGTGACAGTCAATAGTGTGAATTTTCACCTTAGGGGGCGCTATGGAGCCATTTTGCATTTTCTTGTTTGGGCGACTTCGGAATATCAAATTTTTCACCAGGCCCGGTCGTCCTGCCAAATTTCATGAGTTTTCGCCAGTGGGAAGTGGGCCATTTTCCAGTTCAAAGGGGAGGAAAAATAATAACTAGGACCCCGTTGGGGCACTGGCGGGCCCGAGCCGTGTCGCGTCCCCCCCCAACGTGCTGCCTCCCCGTCCCATTTGTGTCCTCTGGCCATCGCCCTCTCTGGTAACGCCCATCACTGCAAAGACCCTTTTCCTTCATTGGCGTTTGCTGTTCTTCTTGCCAGTGCGTGTTGCTTTCACTTACACTTGCCACAGCCAGCCTCGTGAGTGCCTAGCCTATTGGATATCACTGTCACCTACACAGGACAGTCATTACCTTTCTATTAATACTTTGTGTTTTAATTTCACATTAATTTCCATATTGTATAAACGACTGGAAAAAACTTGAGCCCCTGCCCCTGTATAATCATGTGCATGTCTCTGTTCTAGCTCCAAGGTGAATCTTCACTGCTCATGTTCTCCTCAGAAGCACTCACCTCACTCCCCTCAGGTTACTGTACACATGCACCAACTGCCTGCTTCAGGTTTGGATGGAGCTTCATGGTTGTCTTTTGGAGAAATGACCAGTCAAGTTGTGTTTGAAATTTGATTTTTTTCAGGGGCAAAAGGAGCCTCTGCATTCTTGTCAAATATGTAAATAGCATGTTTTTGCAGGTGCTAAAAACCAGACTCTGAGTGTGTGTGTGTGTGCGTGTGTGTGTGTCTGTGTGTGTGTTCAAGTCACATGACATATTTAACCGGATGTAGCTGCAAGACGGAGCCTCGTTGACTCTCCGTTTCAACTTATCTCAAAAGTGAGGACCTCAACCTATATACCAGTTTTTAAATTGTGATGATAGGCCAAATAAAACCAGAGTTATGATAAATTATGTCCGCGATACTTTTTTTCTGCTTATTTTGATCACGTTCGGCGCTCGATCGCGCTGTATGAGACAGGAAAACATAGCATGCAGACATTAGCGACAGCTCTTACAGGCGGAAAAGGCTTGCCAAAAGAAAAAAAAACACACCACAACATCTCTCCTATTGGTGGAAAACTTCACCACAACAACCAATCCAAAATTATATGGTGACTGATTGACAAGGGGCGGGCGCTTACGTTCTTCCTGCAACATGAGAAGCGAGGGAGGGACTCTCAGCAGGGATGCAGTCTGGGACACGTAGTTGCAAACCTAGCGACTTTGTTGTTAGATTCAATGACTTTTCAGACCCCCTAACGACTTTTTTTTTAGAAAGAAAGGGACTTTTATCGACTTCTTCTGGAGTTTAGAGACTCTGACATGAAGCAGGCTTTCCTTACTGAGGAGTTAGCAATGCTGCTAAGGGTGCAGAGCCACACATGCGCTCAGAGCTCTGCATGGGAGACTGAAGCTGACAGAGCTGCAGCAGTTAGCAGGTTTCACACTCAGAGACCACCAGGGGTTCATGTTGAGGCATTTAAATTTTTTTTTTTTTGTGCCATAGACACTGTCAGCACAATCTGCAGTTACACTAACAAAAATGCTGCAAAAAACAAAGAATTATGGAAAAATTACACATGGACTGACATAGAGGAGGATCTACACAAGTTTTTTACATCATGTTTTACATCATGCATCATTTACATCATGTTTTTTTGTAGTGGCATAAATAAAAAGTGATATTAGTGAGACTATACAGTGTTTTGTAAATAATTTTACAAAGAACGCCTGGGCCATTGCCTGCATTTTGATGTAAATAGAGGTAAATCACTATGTTCTTTGTTAAAAATTTGCATATGTTTTGAAGTTTACAATTTTTATTTGAAGTTTAAGTTTTAAAAACAGTTCATCACACATATTTGTGGTTTTCACAGTAAAAATGTTACTTTTTTCCACTCGGATTTTATGTTTTGTGTGTGAATTTGGGTCCATTGTGTAAATTCAGTATGTCAACATGATAAAATAACTGTAAATTCGCACAGGTGAGGTTGTGCTGAAAAAAATGATACCAGGCAAGGCACGTGATTGTCAAATTTTGTGTCAATATGACAAAGCGTATAGGCGTGAATCTCAACAATATGTATTTTCACCTTAGGGGACAAGAAAAAATGGACTTTTTTCTCCTGCCATGGGGGGCGCTCTTTTGGGGAGTAAAAATTCCTTCACAAATGTGTTGATGGCTGGACATTGCATCATCCTAGAAAACTTGGAGGCCAGTGAGGACAAAAATAAAAAGTTATAAGACTTTTAAATATGTGGATTTTAGGGTTATCTTTGGCGCCCCCTAGAACCTAAACCGTGGGGTGCAGCGTCATGATTTGAATAACTTTTAATGGCCATGGGGTGTAGATTGGCCTGAGCAAATGTGGTGCCGGTGGAACGAAAGCCTTAGGAGGAGTTAGCCACATTCCAATGTGTGCGGATCGGCAAAAAATGCGGAATAACCCTTTAACCGTACATTTGACAGATACGCGCGCATTGACTTTTTCGTAGATCTTATTGAGTTACATGTGTGTGTCAATTTTTGTGTCATTTTGACAAAGCGTATAGGCGTGACACTCAACAATGTGTATTTTCACCTTAGGGGACAAGAAAAAATGGACTTTTTTCTTCTGCCATGGGGGGGCGCTCTTTTGGGGAGTAAAAATTCCTTCACAAATGTGTTGATGGCTGGACATTGCATCATCCTAGAAAACTTGGAGGCCAGTGAGGACAAAAATAAAAAGTTAAAAGACTTTTAAATATGTGGATTTTAGTGTTATCTTTGGCGCCCCCTAGAACCTAAACCTTGGGGTGCAGCGTCATGATTTTGATAACTTTTAATGGCCACGGGGTGTAGATTGGCCTGAGCAAATGTGGTGCCGGTGGAACGAAAGCCTTCGGAGGAGTTAGCGAAATTCCAATGTGTGCGGATCGGCAAAAAATGCGAAATAACCCTTTAACCGTAATTTTGACAGATATGGCCGCACTGACTTTTTTGTAGATCTTATTAAGATACATATGTGTGTCAATTTTTGTGTCAATATGACAAAGCGTACAGGCGTGACAGTCAATAGTGTGAATTTCCACCTTAGGGGGCGCTATGGAGCCATTTTGCATTTTATTGTTTGGGCGACTTCAGAATATCGAATTTTTCACCAGGCCCGGTCGTCCTGCCAAATTTCATGAGTTTTTGCCAGTGGGAAGTGGGCCATTTTCCAGTTCAAAGGGGAGGAAAAAGAAAAAAGAAAGAAAGAAACAAAGAAAAACCACTTGGGGAATAATAGGGCTCTCGCAGCTGCTTAGCAGCTACGCTCGGGCCCTAATAACAAAAGAAGGAAACATGCAGGAACAAGAGGGCTCTCGCAGCTGCTTAGCAGCTACGCTCGGGCCCTAAAGAAAGAAAGAACAAGAAAAAATGGACTTTTTTCTCCTGCCATGGGGGGGCGCTCTTTTAGGGAGTAAAAATTCCTTCACAAATGTGTTGATGGCTGGACATTGCATCATCCTAGAAAACTTGGAGGCCAGTGAGGGCAAAAATAAAAAGTTATAAGACTTTGAAATATGTGGATTTTAGTGTTATCTTTGGCGCCCCCTAGAACCTAAACCTTGGGGTGCAGCGTCATGATTTTGATAACTTTTAATGGCCACGGGGTGTAGATTGGCCTGAGCAAATGTGGTGCCGGTGGAACGAAAGCCTTCGGAGGAGTTAGCGAAATTCCAATGTGTGCGGATCGGCAAAAAATGCGAAATAACCCTTTAACCGTAATTTTGACAGATACGGCCGCACTGACTTTTTTGTAGATCTTATTGAGATACATATGTGTGTCAATTTTTGTGTCAATATGACAAAGCGTACAGGCGTGACAGTCAATAGTGTGAATTTCCACCTTAGGGGGCGCTATGGAGCCATTTTGAATTTTATTGTTTGGGCGACTTCAGAATATCGAATTTTTCACCAGGCCCGGTCGTCCTGCCAAATTTCATGAGTTTTCGCCAGTGGGAAGTGGGCCATTTTCCAGTTCAAAGGGGAGGAAAAAGAAGAAAGAAAGAAAGAACAAGAAAAAATGGACTTTTTTCTCCTGCCATGGGGGGGCGCTCTTTTGGGGAGTAAAAATTCCTTCACAAATGTGTTGATGGCTGGACATTGCATCATCCTAGAAAACTTGGAGGCCAGTGAGGACAAAAATAAAAAGTTATAAGACTTTTAAAAATTTGAATTTTTGGGTTATCTTTGGCGCCCCCTAGAACGTAAACCGTGGGGTGCAGCGTCATGATTTGAATAACTTTTAATGGCCATGGGGTGTAATTTGGCCTGAGCAAATGTGGTGCCGGTGGAACGAAAGCCTTCGGAGGAGTTAGCGAAATTCCAATGTGTGTGAATCGGCAAAAAATGCGGAATAACCCTTTAACCGTACATTTGACAGATACGCGCCCATTGACTTTTTTGTAGATCTTATTGAGATACATGTGTGTGTCAATTTTTGTGTCATTTTGTCAAAGCGTACAGGCGTGACACTCAACAATGTGTATTTTCACCTTAGGGGACAAGAAAAAATGGACTTTTTTCTCCTGCCATGGGGGGGCGCTCTTTTGGGGAGTAAAAATTCCTTCACAAATGTGTTGATGGCTGGACATTGCATCATCCTAGAAAACTTGGAGGCCAGTGAGGACAAAAATAAAAAGTTATAAGACTTTGAAATATGTGGATTTTAGTGTTATCTTTGGCGCCCCCTAGAACCTAAACCGTGGGGTGCAGCGTCATGATTTGAATAACTTTTAATGGCCATGGGGTGTAGATTGGCCTGAGCAAATGTGGTGCCGGTGGAACGAAAGCCTTCGGAGGAGTTAGCGAAATTCCAATGTGTGCGGATCGGCAAAAAATGCGGAATAACCCTTTAACCGTACATTTGACAGATACGCGCGCATTGACTTTTTCGTAGATCTTATTGAGATACATGTGTGTGTCAATTTTTGTGTCATTTTGACAAAGCGTACAGGCGTCAGGTGAATTTTTCACCTTAGGGGGCGCTATGGAGCCATTTTGCATTTTCTTGTTTGGGCGACTTCGGAATATCAAATTTTTCACCAGGCCCGGTCGTCCTGCCAAATTTCATGAGTTTTCGCCAGTGGGAAGTGGGCCATTTTCCAGTTCAAAGGGGAGGAAAAATAATAACTAGGGCCCCGTTGGGGCACTGGCGGGCCCGAGCCATGTCACGCCGCCCTCAGCGCGACCGCCTCCCCCACCCGATCGCGTCACACTCAAGGTCCAAAGATGGTGTGCGCACTTGTTTGTGGTCATTTACCATTATAATGAACGGGAGGCGCAGTTTCTACCAAAACGCTCGCTGCAGAAAAACTCCATGTCCTATTTGAAAAAAGTCTGGACCATGAGTGAGGGCACAAACACAGCTAAGATATATCCAAATGGCAAGTTGCTCCTCCTTTCGCTTTTGCCGAGAGAGCAGTGCGTTTGAGCCATTGAATGATGAACAGGAAAAACTTGACTTTATTCTCCTGCCATTGGGGGGTGCTCTTTTAACGAGAAAAAACTCCTTCACAAATGTGTTGATGGCTGGACATTGCATCATACTAGAAAACATGGAGGCCAGTGAGGACAAAAATAAAAAGTTATAAGACTTTTAAATATGTGGATTTTAGGGTTATCTTTGGCGCCCCCTAGAACCTAAACCGTGGGGTGCAGCGTCATGATTTGAATAACTTTTAATGGCCATGGGGTGTAGATTGGCCTGAGCAAATGTGGTGCCGGTGGAACGAAAGCCTTCGGAGGATTTAGCGAAATTCCAATGTGTGCGAATCTGAAAAAAATGCGAAATAACCCTTTAACCGTACATTTTACAGATACGTGGCCATTGACTTTTTCGAAGATCTTATTGAAATACACGTGTATGTAAAATTTTGTGTCAATACGACAAAACATACAGGCGTAGCACTCAACAATGTGTATTTTCACCTTAGTGGACAAGAAAAAATGGACTTTTTTCTCCTGCCATGGGGGGGCGCTCTTTTGGCGAGTAAAAATTCCTTCACAAATGTGTTGATGGCTGGACATTGCGTCATCCTAGAAAACTTGGAGGCCAGTGGGGACAAAAATAAAAAGTTATAAGACTTTTTAATATGTGGATTTTACGGTTATCTTTGGCGCCCCCTAGAACCTAAACCGTGGGGTGCAGCGTCATGATTTGAATAACTTTTAATGGCCATGGGGTGTAGATTGGCCTGAGCAAATGTGGTGCCGGTGGAACGAAAGCCTTCGGAGGAGTTAGCGAAATTCCAATGTGTGCGGATCGGCAAAAAATGCGGAATAACCCTTTAACCGTACATTTGACAGATACGCGCGCATTGACTTTTTCGTAGATCTTATTGAGATACATGTGTGTGTCAATTTTTGTGTCATTTTGACAAAGCGTACAGGTGTTACACTCAACAATGTGTATTTTCACCTTAGGGGACAAGAAAAAATGGACTTTTTTCTCCTGCCATGGGGGGGCGCTCTTTTGGGGAGTAAAAATTCCTTCACAAATGTGTTGATGGCTGGACATTGCATCATCCTAGAAAACTTGGAGGCCAGTGAGGGCAAAAATAAAAAGTTATAAGACTTTTAAATATGTGGATCTTAGGGTTATCTTTGGCGCCCCCTAGAACCTAAACCGTGGGGTGCAGCATCATGATTTGAATAACTTTTAATGGCCATGGGGTGTAGATTGGCCTGAGCAAATGTGGTGCCGGTGGAACGAAAGCCTTCGGAGGAGTTAGCGAAATTGCAATGTGTGCGGATCGGCAAAAAATGCGAAATAACCCTTTAACCGTACATTTGACAGATACGCCCGCACTGACTTTTTTGTAGATCTTATTGAGATACATGTGTGTGTCAATTTTTGTGTCATTTTGACAAAACATACAGGCGTGACAGTCAATAGTGTGAATTTTCACCTTAGGGGGCGCTATGGAGCCATTTTGCATTTTCTTGTTTGGGCGACTTCGGAATATCAAATATTTCACCAGGCCCGGTTGTCCTGCCAAATTTCATGAGTTTTCGCCAGTGGGAAGTGGGCCATTTTCCAGTTCAAAGGGGAGGAAAAATAATAACTAGGACCCCGTTGGGGCACTGGCGGGCCCGAGCCGTGTCGCCCCCCCCCCCCCCCCCCAACGTGCTGCCTCCCCGTCCCATTTGTGTCCTCTGGCCATCGCCCTCTCTGGTAACGCCCATCACTGCAAAGACCCTTTTCCTTCATCGGCGTTTGCTGTTCTTCCTGCCAGTGCGTGTTGCTTTCACTTACACTTGCCACAGCCAGCCTCGTGAGTGCCTAGCCTATTGGATATCACTGTCACCTACACAGGACAGTCATTACCTTTCTATTAATACTTTGTTTTTTAATTTCACATTAATTTCCATATTGTATAAACAACTGGAAAAAACTTGAGCCCCTGCCCCTGTATAATCATGTGCACGTCTCTGTTCTAGCTCTAAGGTGAATCTTCACTGCTCATGTTCTCCTCAGAAGCAGTCACCTCACTCCCCTCAGGTTACTGTACACATGCACCAACTGCCTGCTTCAGGTTTGGATGGAGCTTCATGGTTGTCTTTTGGAGAAATGACCAGTCAAGTTGTGTTTGAAATTTGATTTTTTTCAGGGGCAAAAGGAGCCTCTGCATTCTTGTCAAATATGTAAATAGCATGTTTTTGCAGGTGCTAAAAACCAGACTCTGAGTGTGTGTGTGTGCGTGTGTGTGTGTGTCTGTGTGTGTGTGTGTGTGTGCGTTCAAGTCACATGACATATTTAACCGGATGTAGCTGCAAGACGGAGCCTCGTTGACTCTCCGTTTCAACTTATCTCAAAAGTGAGGACCTCAACCTATATACCAGTTTTTAAATTGTGTTGATAGGCCAAATAAAACCAGAGTTATGATAAATTATGTCCGCGATACTTGTTTTCTGCTTATTTTGATCACGTTCGGCGCTCGATCGCGCTGTATGAGACAGGAAAACATAGCATGCAGACATTAGCGACAGGTCTTACAGGCGGAAAAGGCTTGCCAAAGGAAAAAAAAAAACACACCACAACATCTCTCCTATTGGTGGAAAACTTCACCACAACAACCAATCCAAAATTATATGGTGACTGATTGACAAGGGGCGGGCGCTTACGTTCTTCCTGCAATATGAGAAGGGAGGGAGGGACTCTCAGCAGGGATGCAGTCTGGGACATGTAGTTGCAAACCTAGCGACTTTGTTGTTAGATTCAATGACTTTTCAGACCCCCTAACGACTTTTTTTTTAGAAAGAAAGTGACTTTTATCGACTTCTTCTGGAGTTTAGAGACTCTGACATGAAGCAGGCTTTCCTTACTGAGGAGTTAGCAACGCTGCTAAGGGTGCAGAGCCACACATGCGCTCCGAGCTCTGCATGGGAGACTGAAGCTGACAGAGCTGCAGCAGTTAGCAGGTTTCACCCTCAGAGACCACCAGGGGTTCATGTTGAGGCATTTTCAGTTTTTTGTTTTTTTGCCATAGACACTGTCAGCACAATCTGCAGTTACACTAACAAAAATGCTGCAAAAAACAAAGAATTATGGAAAAATTACACATGGACTAACATAGAGGAGGATCTACACAAGTTTTTTACATCATGTTTTACATCATGCATCATTTACATCATGTTTTTTTGTAGTGGCATAAATAAAAAGTGACATTTGTGAGACTATACAGTGTTTTGTAAATAATTTTACAAAGAACACCTGGGCCATTGCCTGCATTTTGATGTAAATAGAGGTAAATTACTATGTTCTTTGTTAAAAATTTGCATATGTTTTGAAGTTTACAATTTTTATTTGAACTTTAAGTTTTAAAAACAGTTCATCACACATATTTGTGGTTTTCACAGTAAAAACGTTACTTTTTTCCACTCGGATTTTATGTTTTGTGTGTGAATTTGGGTCCAATGTGTAAATATAGTATGTCAAAATGATAAAATAACTGTAAATTGACACAGGTGAGGTTGTGCTGAAAAAAATGATACCAGGCAAGGCAAGGTAAAAATTTTGTAAGAGGAAATATAAAGGTAAAATCTAAAGTAGTCAAAAACGGCCAATAGTGACTCACAGACTCCACAGACAAGTCCCTTTGGCGCCACTCAGTGGGCAAAACTACTTTGTCTACTGTAATGTATATTTGGGTCATCTTTGGCGCCCCCTAAAACGTAAACCGTGGGGTGCAGCGTCATGATTTTTACAACTTTGAATGGCAATGGAGTGTAGATTGGCCTGAGCAAATTTGGTGTCAGTGGGACGAAAGCCTTAGGAGGAGTTAGCGAAATTCCAATGTGTGCGAATCGGCAAAAAATGCAAAATAGCCCTTTTACCGTACATTATACAGATACGCGCTCTTTGACTTTTTCGTAGATCTAATTGAGATACACATGATTGTCAATTTTTGTGTCATTTTGCCAAAGCGTACAGGCGTGACAGTCAACAATGTGTATTTTCACCTTAGGGGACAAGAAAAAATGGACTTTTTTCTCCTGCCATGGGGGGGCGCTCTTTTAGGGAGTAAAAATTCCTTCACAAATGTGTTGATGGCTGGACATTGCATCATCCTAGAAAACTTGGAGGCCAGTGAGGACAAAAATAAAAAGTTATAAGACTTTTAAAAATGTGGATTTTTGGGTTATCTTTGGCGCCCCCTAGAACGTAAACCGTGGGGTGCAGCGTCATGATTTGAATAACTTTTAATGGCCATGGGGTGTAGATTGGCCTGAGCAAATGTGGTGCCGGTGGAACGAAAGCCTTCGGAGGAGTTAGCGAAATTCCAATGTGTGCAAATCGGCAAAAAATGCGAAATAACCCTTTAACCGTACATTTGACAGATACGCGCTCATGGACTTTTTTGTAGATCTTATTGAGATACATGTGTGTGTCAATTTTTGTGTCATTTTGACAAAGCGTACAGGCGTGACACTCAACAATGTGTATTTTCACCTTAGGGGACAAGAAAAAATTGACTTTTTTCTCCTGCCATGGGGGGGCGCTCTTTTGGGGAGTAAAAATTCCTTCACAAATGTGTTGATGGCTGGACATTGCATCATCCTAGATAACTTGGAGGCCAGTGAGGGCAAAAATAAAAAGTTATAAGACTTTTAAATATGTGGATTTTAGGGTTATCTTTGGCGCCCCCTAGAACCTAAACCGTGGGGTGCAGCGTCATGATTTGAATAACTTTTAATGGCCATGGGGTGTAGATTGGCCTGAGCAAATGTGGTGCCGGTGGAACGAAAGCCTTCGGAGGAGTTAGCGAAATTCCAATGTGTGCGGATCGGCAAAAAATGCGAAATAACCCTTTAACCGTACATTTGACAGATACGCCCGCACTGACTTTTTTGTAGATCTTATTGAAATACATGTGTGTGTCAATTTTTGTGTCATTTTGACAAAGCGTACAGGCGTGACAGTCAATAGTGTGAATTTTCACCTTAGGGGGCGCTATGGAGCCATTTTGCATTTTCTTGTTTGGGCGACTTCGGAATATCAAATTTTTCACCAGGCCCGGTCGTCCTGCCAAATTTCATGAGTTTTCGCCAGTGGGAAGTGGGCCATTTTCCAGTTCAAAGGGGAGGAAAAAGAAAAAAGAAACAAAGAAAAACCACTTGGGGAATAATAGGGCTCTCGCAGCTGCTTAGCAGCTACGCTCGGGCCCTAATAATAATAACAAAAGAAGGAAACATGCAGGAACAAGAGGGCTCTCGCAGCTGCTTAGCAGCTACGCTCGGGCCCTAACTAGGGCCCCGTTGGGGCACTGTCGGGCCCGAGCCGTGTTGCACCCGCCCCCAACGCGATCGCCTCCCCCTCCCATTCGCGTCCCCTGGCCATCGCCCTCTCTGGTAACGCCCATCACTGCAAAGACCCTTTTCCTTCATCGGCGTTTGCTATTCTTCCTGCCAGTGCTTGTCGCTTTCACTTACACTTGCCACAGCCAGCCTCGTGAGTGCCTGGCCTGGTTTGACCTTTGCTTACCATGATTGTGTGACCTTGGTATCGGCTACTTGGGAAGTCCCACCGTCGTGGCAAAGCTTTGTTTGCGTGCTGTGCTCCTATTTTCTATGGATGTGTAAGTAAACCACTTTCTTTTCTTACACAATGACACACTCATACTTATCATTCACTGTTACTGATGTGCTCTGTTAGTAAGCATGCAGGAAACCTGATGAATGAAGAAATGCCCACACTTGCCAACATCTTAATAAATTATGAGGTATGACATCACTTGAATGGTTTCCTTGGACTATGCTTCCATTATTCTAATTCTGTAATAAAAAGAAATTTTGTCCAAAAAGACTGTTGTTGTTATTTCTTCTAATAAGTAACATAGTTAACATAATTAACTTTCAATATGCGCTCATTACACACGTGCACACTCTTTGATGATCTATGGACCAGAGCTTGAAAGACAGGAGGAGCAGCCGAACAAAGTGTATTTGTAGGAAAGCCGTAAGAGCTATTGAAACGCTGTTTTCGCAGGTTGAAAGGTTAGGGTCTCCACCAAAGGTCAGAGGTCAAATAACATTTGTAACTCAAAATGTGACGTCACAGTCAAGGTCCAAAGATGGTGTGCGCACCTGTCTTTGGTCATTTCCCATTATAATGAATGGGAGGCGCAGTTTCTACCAAAATGGTCGCTGCAGACAAACTACATGTCCAATTTGAAAAAAGTCTGGACCATGAGTGAGGGCACAAACACAGCTATGATGTATCCAAATGGCAAGTGGCTCCTCCTTTTGGTTTTAGCGGGAGAGCGATGCGTTTAAGCCATTGAGCGATGGGCAGGAAAAACTTGACTTTTTCTCCTGCCATGGGGGGGCGCTCTTTTGGGGAGAAAGAATTCCTTCACAAATTTGTTGATGGCTGGACATTGCATCATCCTAGAAAACTTGGAGGCCAGTGAGGACAAAAATAAAAAGTTATGAGACTTTTAAGAATGTGGATATTTGGGTCATCTTTGGCGCCCCCTAGAACGTAAACCGTGGGGTGCAGCGCCATGATTTGTACAACTTTGAATGGCCATGGGGTGTAGATTAACCTGAGCAAATTTGGTGCTGGTTAAACGAAAGCTTTAGGAGGAGTTAGCCACATTCCAATGTGTGCAAATCGCCAAAAAATGCGAAATAGCCCTTTAACCGTACATTTGACAGATACGCCCGCGTTGACTTTTTCGTAGATCTTATTGAGATACACGTGTGTGTCAAATTTTGTGTCAATATGACAAAGCGTACAGGTGTCACACTCAACAATGTGAATTTTCACCTTAGGCGACAAGAAAAAATGGACTTTTTTCTCCTGCCATGGGGGGGCGCTCTTTTGGGGAGTAAAAATTCCTTCACAAATGTGTTGATGGCTGGACATTGCATCATCCTAGAAAACTTGGAGGCCAGTGAGGGCAAAAATAAAAAGTTGTAAGACTTTTAAATATGTGGATCTTAGGGTTATCTTTGGCGCCCCCTAGAACCTAAACCGTGGGGTGCAGCGTCATGATTTGAATAACTTTTAATGGCCATGGGGTGTAGATTGGCCTGAGCAAATGTGGTGCCGGTGGAACGAAAGCCTTCGGAGGAGTTAGCCACATTCCAATGTGTGCGAATCGCCAAAAAATGCGAAATAGCCCTTTAACCGTACATTTGACAGATACGCCCGCGTTGACTTTTTCGTAGATCTTATTGAGATACACGTGTGTGTCAAATTTTGTGTCAATATGACAAAGCGTACAGGTGTCACACTCAACAATGTGAATTTTCACCTTAGGCGACAAGAAAAAATTGACTTTTTTCTCCTGCCATGGGGGGGCGCTCTTTTGGGGAGTAAAAATTCCTTCACAAATGTGTTGATGGCTGGACATTGCATCATCCTAGAAAACTTGGAGGCCAGTGAGGGCAAAAATAAAAAGTTATAAGACTTTTAAATATGTGGATCTTAGGGTTATCTTTGGCGCCCCCTAGAACCTAAACCGTGGGGTGCAGCGTCATGATTTGAATAACTTTTAATGGCCATGGGGTGTAGATTGGCCTGAGCAAATGTGGTGCCGGTGGAACGAAAGCCTTCGGAGGAGTTAGCGAAATTCCAATGTGTGCGGATCGGCAAAAAATGCGAAATAACCCTTTAACCGTACATTTGACAGATACGCCCGCACTGACTTTTTTGTAGATCTTATTGAGATACATGTGTGTGTCAATTTTTGTGTCATTTTGACAAAGCGTACAGGCGTGACAGTCAATAGTGTGAATTTTCACCTTAGGGGGCGCTATGGAGCCATTTTGCATTTTCTTGTTTGGGCGACTTCGGAATATCAAATTTTTCACCAGGCCCGGTCGTCCTGCCAAATTTCATGAGTTTTCACCAGTGGGAAGTGGGCCATTTTCCAGTTCAAAGGGGAGGAAAAATAACTAGGGCCCCGGTGGGGCACTGTCGGGCCCGAGCCGCGTCGCGCCGCCCCTAGCGCGACCGCCTCCCCCTCCCGATCGCGTCACACTCAAGGTCCAAAGATGGTGTGCGCACTTGTCTGTGGTCATTTCCCATTATAATGAATGGGAGGCGCAGTTTCTACCAAAACACTCGCTGCAGACAAACTTCATGTCCTATTTGAAAAAAGTCTGGACCATGAGTGAGGGCACAAACACAGCTATGATATATCGAAATGGCAGGTTGCTCCTCCTTACGGTGTTGCCTGGAGAGCGATGCGATTGAGCCATTGAGCGATGGGCAGGGTTAACTTGACTTTTTCTCCTGCCTTGGGGGGGATGTGGATTCCTTTAAGAATGTGGATTTTTGGGTCATCTTTGGCGCCCCCTAGAACGTAAACCGTGGGGTGCAGCGTCATGATTTTTACAACTTTGAATGGCCATGGGGTGTAGATTGGCCTGAGCAAATTTGGTGTCAGTGGGACGAAAGCCTTAGGAGGAGTTAGCCACATTCCAATGTGTGCGAATCGGCAAAAAATGCAAAATAGCCCTTTAACCGTACATTTGACAGATACGCGCACATTGACTTTTTTGTAGATCTTATTGAGATACATATGTGTGTCAATTTTTGTGTCAATATGATAAAGCGTACAGGCGTGACAGTCAATAGTGTGAATTTCCACCTTAGGGGACAAGAAAAAATTGACTTTTTTCTCCTGCCATGGGGGGGCGCTCTTTTGGGGAGTAAAAATTCCTTCACAAATGTGTTGATGGCTGGACATTGCATCATCCTAGAAAACTTGGAGGCCAGTGAGGACAAAAATAAAAAGTTATAAGACTTTTAAATATGTGGATTTTAGTGTTATCTTTGGCGCCCCCTAGAACCTAAACCTTGGGGTGCAGCGTCATGATTTGAATAACTTTTAATGGCCATGGGGTGTAGATTGGCCTGAGCAAATGTGGTGCCGGTGGAACGAAAGCCTTCGGAGGAGTTAGCGAAATTCCAATGTGTGCGGATCGGCAAAAAATGCGGAATAACCCTTTAACCGTACATTTGACAGATACGCGCGCATTGACTTTTTCGTAGATCTTATTGAGATACATGTGTGTGTCAATTTTTGTGTCATTTTGCCAAAGCATACAAGTGTTACACTCAACAATGTGTATTTTCACCTTAGGGGACAAGAAAAAATGGACTTTTTTCTCCTGCCATGGGGGGGCGCTCTTTTGGGGATTAAAAATTCCTTCACAAATGTGTTGATGGCTGGACATTGCATCATCCTAGAAAACTTGGAGGCCAGTGAGGGCAAAAATAAAAAGATATAAGACTTTTAAATATGTGGATCTTAGGTGTATCTTTGGCGCCCCCTAGAACCTAAACCGTGGGGTGCAGCGTCATGATTTGAATAACTTTTAATGGCCATGGGGTGTAGATTGGCCTGAGCAAATGTGGTGCCGGTGGAACGAAAGCCTTCGGAGGAGTTAGCGAAATTCCAATGTGTGCGGATCGGCAAAAAATGCGAAATAACCCTTTAACCGTACATTTGACAGATACGCCCGCACTGACTTTTTTGTAGATCTTATTGAGATACATGTGTGTGTCAATTTTTGTGTCATTTTGACAAAGCGTACACGCGTGACAGTCAATAGTGTGAATTTTCACCTTAGGGGGCGCTATGGAGCCATTTTGCATTTTCTTGTTTGGGCGACTTCGGAATATCAAATTTTTCACCAGGCCCGGTCGTCCTGCCAAATTTCATGAGTTTTCGCCAGTGGGAAGTGGGCCATTTTCCAGTTCAAAGGGGAGGAAAAATAATAACTAGGGCCCCGTTGGGGCACTGGCGGGCCCGAGCTGTGTCACGCCGCCCCCAACACGACCGCCTCTCCCTCCCGATCGCGTCACACTCAAGGTTCAACGATGGTGTGCGCACTTGTCTGTGGTCATTTACCATTATAATGAATGGGAGGCGCAGTTTCTACCAAAACGCTTGCTGCAGACAAACTACATGTCCTATTTGAAAAAAGTCTGGACCATGAGTGAGGGCACAAACACAGCTAGGATATATCCAAATGGCAAGTTCCTCCTCCTTTCGTTTTTTTCCGAGAGAGCGATGTGTTTGAGCCATTGAGCGATGGGCAGGAAAAACTTGACTTTTTCTCCTGCCATGGGGGGGCACTCTTTTAGGGAGAAAAAATTCCTTCACAAATGTGTTGATGGCTAGACATTGCATCATCCTAGAAAACTTTGAAGCCAGTGAGGACAAAAATGAAAAGTTATAAGACTTTTAAGAATGTGGATTTTTGGGTTATCTTTGGCGACCCCTAGAACGTAAACCGTGGGGTGCAGCGTCATGATTTGTACAACTTTTAATGGCCATGGGGTGTAGATTGGCCTGAGCAAATTTGGTGCCGGTGGAACGAAAGCTTTAGGAGGAGTTAGCCACATTCCAATGTGTGCGAATCAACCAAAAATGCGAAATAGCCCTTTAACCGTACATTTTGCAGACACGTGCACATTGACTTTTTCGTAGATCTTATTGAGATACACGTGATTATCAAATTTTGTTTCAATATGACAAAGCGTACAGGCGTGACACTCAACAATGTGTATTTTCACCTTAGGGGACAAGAAAAAATGGACTTTTTTCTCCTGCCATGGGGGGGCGCTCTTTTGGGGAGTAAAAATTCCTTCACAAATGTGTTGATGGCTGGACATTGCATCATCCTAGAGAACTTGGAGGCCAGTGAGGACAAAAATAAAAAGTTATAAGACTTTTAAGAATGTGGATTTTTGGGTTATCTTTGGCGCCCCCTACAACGTAAACCGTGGGGTGCAGCGTCATGATTTGTACAACTTTGAATGGCCATGGGGTGTAGATTGGCCTGAGCAAATTTGGTGCCGGTGGAACGAAAGCCTTCGGAGGAGTTAGCGAAATTCCAATGTGTGCGGATCGGCAAAAAATGCGAAATAACCCTTTAACCGTACATTTGACAGATACGCCCACACTGACTTTTTTGTAGATCGTATTGAGATACATGTGTGTGTCAATTTTTGTGTCATTTTGACAAAGCGTACAGGCGTCAGGTGAGTTTTCACCATAGGGGGCGCTATGGAGCCATTTTTCATTTTTTTGTTTGGGCGACTTCAGAATATCAAATTTTTCACCAGGCCCGGTCGTCCTGCCAAATTTCCTGAGTTTTCGCCAGTGGGAAGTGGGCCATTTTCCAGTTTAAAGCGGAGGAAAAATAACTAGGACCCCGTTGGGGCACTTGCGGGCCCGAGCCGTGTCGCGTCCCCCCCAACGTGCTGCCTCCCCGTCCCATTTGTGTCCTCTGGCCATCGCCCTCTCCGGTAACGCCCATCACTGCAAAGACCCTTTTCCTTCATCGGCGTTTGCTGTTCTTCCTGCCAGTGCGTGTTGCTTTCACTTACACTTGCCACAGCCAGCCTCGTGAGTGCCTAGCCTATTGGATATCACTGTCACCTACACAGGACAGTCATTACCTTTCTATTAATACTTTGTGTTTTAATTTCACATTAATTTCCATATTGTATAAACGACTGGAAAAAACTTGAGCCCCTGCCCCTGTATAATCATGTGCATGTCTCTGTTCTAGCTCCAAGGTGAATCTTCACTGCTCATGTTCTCCTCAGAAGCACTCACCTCACTCCCCTCAGGTTACTGTACACATGCACCAACTGCCTGCTTCAGGTTTGGATGGAGCTTCATGGTTGTCTTTTGGAGAAATGACCAATCAAGTTGTGTTTGAAATTTGATTTTTTTCAGGGGCAAAAGGAGCCTCTGCATTCTTGTCAAATATGTAAATAGCATGTTTTTGCAGGTGCTAAAAACCAGACTCTGAGTGTGTGTGTGTGTGTGTGTGTGTGTGTGTGTGTGTGTGTGTGTGTGTGTGTGCGTGTGTGTGTGTCTGTGTGTGCGTTCAAGTCACATGACATATTTAATCGGATGTAGCTGCAAGACGGAGCCTCGTTGACTCTCCGTTTCAACTTATCTCAAAAGTGAGGAGCTCAACCTATATACCAGTTTTTAAATTGTGTTGATAGGCCAAATAAAACCAGAGTTATGATAAATTATGTCCGCGATACTTTTTTTCTGCTTATTTTGATCACGTTCGGCGCTCGATCGCGCTGTATGAGACAGGAAAACATAGCATGCAGACATTAGCGACAGGTCTTACAGGCGGAAAAGGTTTGCCAAAAGAAAAAAAAAACACACCACAACATCTCTCCTATTGGTGGAAAACTTCACCACAACAACCAATCCAAAATTATATGGTGACTGATTGACAAGGGGCGGGCGCTTACGTTCTTCCTGCAACATGAGAAGGGAGGGAGGGACTCTCAGCAGGGATGCAGTCTGGGAAACGTAGTTGCAAACCTAGCGACTTTGTTGTTAGATTCAATGACTTTTCAGACCCCCTAACGACTTTTTTTTAGAAAGAAAGGGACTTTTATCGACTTCTTCTGGAGTTTAGAGACTCTGACATGAAGCAGGCTTTCCTTACTGAGGAGTTAGCAACGCTGCTAAGGGTGCAGAGCCACACATGCGCTCAGAGCTCTGCATGGGAGACTGAAGCTGACAGAGCTGCAGCAGTTAGCAGGTTTCACCCTCAGAGACCACCAGGGGTTCATGTTGAGGCATTTTAATTTTTTTTTTGTGCCATAGACACTGTCAGCACAATCTGCAGTTACACTAACAAAAATGCTCCAAAAAACAAAGAATTATGGAAAAATTACACATGGACTGACATAGAGGAGGATCTACACAAGTTTTTTACATCATGTTTTACATCATGCATCATTTACATCATGTTTTTTTGTAGTGGCATAAATAAAAAGTGACATTTGTGAGACTATACAGTGTTTTGTAAATAATTTTACAAAGAACGCCTGGGCCATTGCCTGCATTTTGATGAAAATAGTGTAAATCACTATGTTCTTTGTTAAAAATTTGCATATGTTTTGAAGTTTACAATTTTTATTTGAAGTTTAAGTTTTAAAAACAGTTCATCACACATATTTGTGGTTTTCACAGTAAAAATGTTACTTTTTTCCACTCGGATTTTATGTTTTGTGTGTGAATTTGGGTCCATTGTGTAAATTCAGTATGTCAACATGATAAAATAACTGTAAATTCGCACAGGTGAGGTTGTGCTGAAAAAAATGATACCAGGCAAGGCACGTGATTGTCAAATTTTGTGTCAATATGACAAAGCGTATAGGCGTGAATCTCAACAATATGTATTTTCACCTTAGGGGACAAGAAAAAATGGACTTTTTTCTCCTGCCATGGGGGGGCGCTCTTTTGGGGAGTAAAAATTCCTTCACAAATGTGTTGATGGCTGGACATTGCATCATCCTAGAAAACTTGGAGGCCAGTGAGGACAAAAATAAAAAGTTATAAGACTTTGAAATATGTGGATTTTAGGGTTATCTTTGGCGCCCCCTAGAACCTAAACCGTGGGGTGCAGCGTCATGATTTGAATAACTTTTAATGGCCATGGGGTGTAGATTGTCCTGAGCAAATGTGGTGCCGGTGGAACGAAAGCCTTAGGAGGAGTTAGCCACATTCCAATGTTTGCGGATCGGCAAAAAATGCGGAATAACCCTTTAACCGTACATTTGACAGATACGCGCGCATTGACTTTTTCGTAGATCTTATTGAGTTACATGTGCGTGTCAATTTTTGTGTCATTTTGACAAAGCGTATAGGCGTGACACTCAACAATGTGTATTTTCACCTTAGGGGACAAGAAAAATGGACTTTTTTCTCCTGCCATGGGGGGGCGCTCTTTTGGGGAGTAAAAATTCCTTCACAAATGTGTTGATGGCTGGACATTGCATCATCCTAGAAAACTTGGAGGCCAGTGAGGACAAAAATAAAAAGTTATAAGACTTTTAAATATGTGGATTTTAGTGTTATCTTTGGCGCCCCCTAGAACCTAAACCTTGGGGTGCAGCGTCATGATTTTGATAACTTTTAATGGCCACGGGGTGTAGATTGGCCTGAGCAAATGTGGTGCCGGTGGAACGAAAGCCTTCGGAGGAGTTAGCGAAATTCCAATGTGTGCGGATCGGCAAAAAATGCGAAATAACCCTTTAACCGTAATTTTGACAGATACGGCCGCACTGACTTTTTTGTAGATCTTATTGAGATACATATGTGTGTCAATTTTTGTGTCAATATGACAAAGCGTACAGGCGTGACAGTCAATAGTGTGAATTTCCACCTTAGGGGGCGCTATGGAGCCATTTTGCATTTTCTTGTTTGGGCGACTTCAGAATATCGAATTTTTCACCTGGCCCGGTCGTCCTGCCAAATTTCATGAGTTTTCGCCAGTGGGAAGTGGGCCATTTTCCAGTTCAAAGGGGAGGAAAAAGAAGAAAGAAAGAAAGAATTACTATGTTCTTTGTTAAAAATTTGCATATGTTTTGAAGTTTACAATTTTTATTTGAAGTTTAAGTTTTAAAAACAGTTCATCACACATATTTGTGGTTTTCACAGTAAAAACGTTACTTTTTTCCACTCGGATTTTATGTTTTGTGTGTGAATTTGGGTCCAATGTGTAAATATAGTATGTCAAAATGGTAAAATAACTGTAAATTGACACAGGTGAGGTTGTGCTGAAAAAAATGATACCAGGCAAGGCAAGGTAAAAATTTTGTAAGAGGAAATATAAAGGTAAAATCTAAAGTAGTCAAAAACGGCCAATAGTGACTCACAGACTCCACAGACAAGTCCCTTTGGCGCCACTCAGTGGGCAAAACTACTTTGTCTACTGTAATGTATATTTGGGTCATCTTTGGCGCCCCCTAAAACGTAAACCGTGGGGTGCAGCGTCATGATTTTTACAACTTTGAATGGCCATGGAGTGTAGATTGGCCTGAGCAAATTTGGTGTCAGTGGGACGAAAGCCTTAGGAGGAGTTAGCGAAATTCCAATGTGTGCGAATCGGCAAAAAATGCAAAATAGCCCTTTTACCGTACATTATACAGATACGCGCTCTTTGACTTTTTCGTAGATCTAATTGAGATACACATGATTGTCAATTTTTGTGTCATTTTGCCAAAGCGTACAGGCGTGACAGTCAACAATGTGTATTTTCACCTTAGGGGACAAGAAAAAATGGACTTTTTTCTCCTGCCATGGGGGGCGCTCTTTTGGGGAGTAAAAATTCCTTCACAAATGTGTTGATGGCTGGACATTGCATCATCCTAGAAAACTTGGAGGCCAGTGAGGATAAAAATAAAAAGTTATAAGACTTTTAAAAATGTGGATTTTTGGGTTATCTTTGGCGCCCCCTAGAACGTAAACCGTGGGGTGCAGCGTCATGATTTGAATAACTTTTAATGGCCATGGGGTGTAGATTGGCCTGAGCAAATGTGGTGCCGGTGGAACGAAAGCCTTCGGAGGAGTTAGCGAAATTCCAATGTGTGCGGATCGGCAAAAAATGCGAAATAACCCTTTAACCGTACATTAGACAGATACGCGCGCATGGACTTTTTTGTAGATCTTATTGAGATACATGTGTGTGTCAATTTTTGTGTCATTTTGACAAAGCGTACAGGCGTGACAGTCAATAGTGTGAATTTTCACCTTAGGGGACAAGAAAAAATGGACTTTTTTCTCCTGCCATGGGGGGGCGCTCTTTTGGGGAGTAAAAATTCCTTCACAAATGTGTTGATGGCTGGACATTGCATCATCCTAGAAAACTTGGAGGCCAGTGAGGGCAAAAATAAAAAGTTATAAGACTTTTAAATATGTGGATTTTAGGGTTATCTTTGGCGCCCCCTAGAACCTAAACCGTGGGGTGCAGCGTCATGATTTGAATAACTTTTAATGGCCATGGGGTGTAGATTGGCCTGAGCAAATGTGGTGCCGGTGGAACGAAAGCCTTCGGAGGAGTTAGCGAAATTCCAATGTGTGCGGATCGGCAAAAAATGCGAAATAACCCTGTAACCGTACATTTGACAGATACGCCCGCACTGACTTTTTTGTAGATCTTATTGAGATACATGTGTGTGTCAATTTTTGTGTCATTTTGACAAAGCGTACAGGCGTGACAGTCAATAGTGTGAATTTTCACCTTAGGGGGCGCTATGGAGCCATTTTGCATTTTCTTGTTTGGGCGACTTCGGAATATCAAATTTTTCACCAGGCCCGGTCGTCCTGCCAAATTTCATGAGTTTTCGCCAGTGGGAAGTGGGCCATTTTCCAGTTCAAAGGGGAGGAAAAATAATAACTAGGGCCCCGGTGGGGCACTGTCGGGCCCGAGCCGCGTTGCGCCGCCCCCAGCGCGACCGCCTCCCCCTCCTGATCGCGTCACACTCAAGGTCCAAAGATGGTGTGCGCACTTGTCTGTGGTCATTTCCCATTATAATGAATGGGAGGCGCAGTTTCTACCAAAACACTCGCTGCAGACAAACTACATGTCCTATTTGAAAAAAGTCTGGACCATGAGTGAGGGCACAAACACAGCTAGGATATATCCAAACGGCAAGTTGCTCCTCGTTACGGTGTTGCCGGGAGAGTGATGCGATTGAGCCATTGAGTGATGGGCAGGAAAAACTTGACTGTTTCTCCTGCCATGGGGGTTGGGGGATGGGGGGGGGGGATGTGGATTCTTTTAAGAATGTGGATATTTGGGTCATCTTTGGCGGCCCCTAGAACGTAAACCGTGGGATGCAGCGTCATGATTTGAATAACTTTTAATGGCCATGGGGTGTAGATTGGCCTGAGCAAATTTGGTGTCAGTGGGACGAAAGCCTTAGGAGGAGTTAGCCACATTCCAATGTGTGCGAATCGGCAAAAAATGCAAAATAGCCCTTTAACCGTACATTTTACAGATACGCGCGCATTGACTTTTTCGTAGATCTTATTGAGATACATGTGATTGTCAAATTTTGTGTCAATATGACAAAGCGTACAGGTATGACAGTCAACAATGTGTTTTTTCATCTTATGGGACAAGAAAAAATGGACTTTTTTCTCCTGCCATGGGGGGGCGCTCTTTTGGGGATTAGAAATTCCTTCACAAATGTGTTGATGGCTGGACATTGCATCATCCTAGAAAATTTGGAGGCCAGTGAGGGCAAAAATAAAAAGTTATAAGACTTTGAAATATGTGGATTTTAGGGTTATCTTTGGCGCCCCCTAGAACCTAAACCGTGGGGTCTAGCGTCATGATTTGAATAACTTTTAATGGCCATGGGGTGTAGATTGGCCTGAGCAAATGTGGTGCCGGTGGAACGCCAGCCTTAGGAGGAGTTAGCGAAATTCCAATGTGTGCGGATCAGCAAAAAATGCGGTATAACCCTTTAACCGTACATTTGACAGATACGCGCGCATTGACTTTTTCGTAGATCTTATTGAGATACATGTGTGTGTCAAATTTTGTGTCAATATGACAAAGCGTACAGGCGTGACACTCAACAATGTGTATTTTCACCTTAGGGGACAAGAAAAAATTGACTTTTTTCTCCTGCCATGGGGGGGCGCTCTTTTGGGGATTAAAAATTCCTTCACAAATGTGTTGATGGCTGGACATTGCATCATCCTAGAAAACTTGGAGGCCAGTGAGGGCAAAAATAAAAAGTTATAAGACTTTTAAATATGTGGATTTTAGGGTTATCTTTGGCGCCCCCTAGAACCTAAACCGTGGGGTGCAGCGTCATGATTTGAATTACTTTTAATGGCCATGGGGTGTAGATTGGCCTGAGCAAATGTGGTGCCGGTGGAACGAAAGCCTTCGGAGGAGTTAGCGAAATTCCAATGTGTGCGGATCGGCAAAAAATGCGGAATAACCCTTTAACCGTACATTTGACAGATACGCCCGCACTGACTTTTTTGTAGATCTTATTGAGATACATGTGTGTGTCAATTTTTGTGTCAATATGACAAAGCGTAAAGGCGTGACAGTCAATAGTGTGAATTTTCACCTTAGGGGGCGCTATGGAGCCATTTTGCATTTTCTTGTTTGGGCGACTTCGGAATATCAAATTTTTCACCAGGCCCGGTCATCCTGCCAAATTTCATGAGTTTTCGCCAGTGGGAAGTGGGCCATTTTCCAGTTCAAAGGGGAGGAAAAAGAAGAAAGAAAGAAACAAAGAAAAACCACTTGGGGAATAATAGGGCTCTCGCAGCTGCTTAGCAGCTACGCTCGGGCCCTAATAATAACACTAGGACCCCGTTGGGGCACTGGCGGGCCCGAGCCGTGTCGCGTCTCCCCCCCCCCCCCAACGTGCTGCCTCCCCGTCCCATTTGTGTCCTCTGGCCATCGCCCTCTCTGGTAACGCCCATCACTGCAAAGACCCTTTTCCTTCATCGGCGTTTGCTGTTCTTCCTGCCAGTGCGTGTTGCTTTCACTTACACTTGCCACAGCCAGCCTCGTGAGTGCCTAGCCTATTGGATATCACTGTCACCTACACAGGACAGTCATTACCTTTCTATTAATACTTTGTGTTTTAATTTCACATTAATTTCCATATTGTATAAACGACTGGAAAAAACTTGAGCCCCTGCCCCTGTATAATCATGTGCATGTCTCTGTTCTAGCTCCAAGGTGAATCTTCACTGCTCATGTTCTCCTCAGAAGCACTCACCTCACTCCCCTCAGGTTACTGTACACATGCACCAACTGCCTGCTTCAGGTTTGGATGGAGCTTCATGGTTGTCTTTTGGAGAAATGACCAGTCAAGTTGTGTTTGAAATTTGATTTTTTTCAGGGGCAAAAGGAGCCTCTGCATTCTTGTCAAATATGTAAATAGCATGTTTTTGCAGGTGCTAAAAACCAGACTCTGAGTGTGTGTGTGTGTGTGTGTGTGTGTGTGTGTGTGTGTGTGTGTGTGTGTGTGTGTGCGTGTGTGTGTGTCTATGTGTGCGTTCAAATCACATGACATATTTAACCGGATGTAGCTGCAAGACGGAGCCTTGTTGACTCTCCGTTTCAACTTATCTCAAAAGTGAGGACCTCAACCTATATACCAGTTTTTAAATTGTGTTGATAGGCCAAATAAAACCAGAGTTATGATAAATTATGTCCGCGATACTTTTTTTCTGCTTATTTTGATCACGTTCGGCGCTCGATCGCGCTGTATGAGACAGGAAAACATAGCATGCAGACATTAGCGACAGGTCTTACAGGCGGAAAAGGCTTGCCAAAGGAAAAAAAAAACACACCACAACATCTCTCCTATTGGTGGAAAAGTTCACCACAACAACCAATCCAAAATTATATGGTGACTGATTGACAAGGGGCAAGCGCTTACGTTCTTCCTGCAACATGAGAAGGGAGGGAGGGACTCTCAGCAGGGATGCAGTCTGGGACACGTAGTTGCAAACCTAGCGACTTTGTTGTTAGATTCAATGACTTTTCAGACCCCCTAACGACTTTTTTAGAAAGAAAGGGACTTTTATCGACTTCTTCTGGAGTTTAGAGACTCTGACATGAAGCAGGCTTTCCTTACTGAGGAGTTAGCAACGCTGCTAAGGGTGCAGAGCCACACATGCGCTCAGAGCTCTGCATGGGAGACTGAAGCTGACAGAGCTGCAGCAGTTAGCAGGTTTCACCCTCAGAGACCACCAGGGGTTCATGTTGAGGCATTTAAATTTTTTTTTTTTGTGCCATAGACACTGTCAGCACAATCTGCAGTTACACTAACAAAAATGCTGCAAAAAACAAAGAATTATGGAAAAATTACACATGGACTGACATAGAGGAGGATCTACACAAGTTTTTTACATCATGTTTTACATCATGCATCATTTACATCATGTTTTTTTGTAGTGGCATAAATAAAAAGTGACATTTGTGAGACTATACAGTGTTTTGTAAATAATTTTACAAAGAACGCCTGGGCCATTGCCTGCATTTTGATGTAAATAGAGGTAAATTACTATGTTCTTTGTTAAAAATTTGCATATGTTTTGAAGTTTACAATTTTTATTTGAAGTTTAAGTTTTAAAAACAGTTCATCACACATATTTGTGGTTTAATTTCACATTAATTTCCATATTGTATAAATGACTGGAAAAAACTTGAGCCCCTGCCCCTGTATAATCATGTGCACGTCCCTGTTCTAGCTCCAAGGTGAATCTTCACTGCTCATGTTCTCCTCAGAAATAGTCACCTCACTCCCCTCAGGTTACTGTACACATGCACCAACTATCTGCTTCAGGTTTGGATGGAGCTTCATGGTTGTCTTTTGGAGAAATGAACAGTCAAGTTGTGTTTGAAATCAGATTTTTTTCAGGGGCAAAAGGAAGCCTCTGCATTCTTGTCAAATATGTAAACAGCATGTTTTTGCAGGTGCTAAAAAACAGACTCTGAGTGTGTGTGTGTGTGTGTGTGTGTGTGTGTGTGTGTGTGTGTGTGTGTGTGTGTATATATGTGTGTGTATCCTGCAGTACTCTGTACTCCTGCAGTGGCCAAAAAGACTTTTAAGAATGTGGATTTTTGGGTCATCTTTGGCGCCCCCTAGAACTGCAGTACTCTGTACTCCTGCAGTGGCCAAAATGACTTTTAAGAATGTGGATTTTTGGGTCATCTTTGGCGTCCCCTAGAACGTAAACCATGGGGTGCAGCGTCATGATTTTTACAACTTTGAATGGGCATGGGGTGTAGATTGCCCTGAGCAAATTTGGTATCGGTGGGACGAAAGCCTTAGGAGGAGATAGCCACATTCCAATGTGTGCGAATCGGCAAAAAATGCGAAATAGCCCTTTAACCGTACATTATACAGATACGCGCTTTTTGACTTTTTCGTAGATCTAATTGAGATACACATGATTGTCAATTTTTGTGTCAATATGACAAAGCGTTCAGGCGTGACACTCAACAATGTGTATTTTCATGTAAGGGGACAAGAAAAAATTGACTTTTTTCTCCTGCCATGGGGGGGCACTCTTTTGGGGAGTAAAAATTCCTTCACAAATGTGTTGATGGCTGGACATTGCATCATCCTAGAAAACTTGGAGGGCAGTGAGGACAAAAATAAAAAGTTATAAGACTTTTAAGAATGTGGATTTTGGGTTATCTTTGGCGCCCCCTAGAACGTAAACCGTGGGGTGCAGCGTCATGATTTGTACAACTTTTAATGGCCATGGGGGGTAGATTGGCCTGTGCAAATGTGGTGCCGGTCGAACGAAAGCCTTCGGAGGAGTTAGCGAAATTCCAATGTGTGCAGATCTGCAAAAAATGCAAAATAACCCATTAACCGTACATTTGACAGATACGCCCGCACTGACTTTTTTGTAGATCTTATTGAGATACATATGTGTGTCAATTTTTGTGTCAATATGACAAAGCGTACAGCCGTCATGTGAATTTTCACCTTAGGGGGCGCTATGGAGCCATTTTGCATTTTATTGTTTGGGCGACTTCAGAATATCGAATTTTTCACCAGGCCCGGTCGTCCTGCCAAATTTCCTGAGTTTTCGCCAGTGGGAAGTGGGCCATTTTCCAGTTTAAAGCGGAGGAAAAATAATAACGAAAGAAGGAAACATGCAGGAACAAGAGGGCTCTCGCAGCTGCTTAGCAGCTACGCTCGGGCCCTAACTAGGGCCCCGTTGGGGCACTGGCGGGCCCGAGCCGTGTCGCGCCGCCCCCAACACGACCGCCTCTCCCTACCGATCGCGTCACACTCAAGGTCCAAAGATGGTGTGCGCACTTGTCTGTGGTCATTTACAATTATAATGAATGGGAGGCGCAGTTTCTACCAAAACGCTCGCCGCAGACAAACTACATGTCCTATTTGAAAAGGACTGGACCATGAGTGAGGGCACAAACACAGCTAGGATATATCCAAATGGCAAGTTGCTCCTCCTTTCGGTTTTGCCGAGAGAGCGATGTGTTTGAGTCATTGAGCGATGGGCAGGAAAAACTTGACTTTTTCTCCTGCCATGGGGGGGCGCTCTTTTAGGGAGTAAAAATTCCTTCACAAATGTGTTGATGGCTAGACATTGCATCATCCTAGAAAACTTGGAGGCCAGTGAGGACAAAAATAAAAAGTTATAAGACTTTTAAGAATGTGGATTTTTGGGTTATCTTTGGCGCCCCCTAGAACATAAACCGTGGGGTGCAGCGTCATGATTTTTACAACTTTGAATGGCCATGGGGTGTAGATTGGCCTGAGTAAATTTGGTGTCAGTGGAACGAAAGCTTTAGGAGGAGTTAGCCACATTCCAATGTGTGCGAATCGACCAAAAATGCGAAATAGCCCTTTAACCGTACATTTTACAGATACGCGCCCATTGACTATTTCGTAGATCTTATTGAGAAACACGTGATTGTCAAAGTTTGTTTCAATATGACAAAGCGTACAGGCGTGACACTCAATAATGTGAATTTCCACCTTAGGGGGAAGAAAAACTGGACTTTTTTCTCCTGCCATGGGGGGGCGCTCTTTTGGGGAGTAAAAATTCCTTCACAAATGTGTTGATGGCTAGACATTGCATCATCCTAGAAAACTTGGAGGCCAGTGAGGACAAAAATAAAAAGTTATACGACTTTTAAGAATGTGGATTTCTGGGTTATCTTTGGCGCCCCCTAGAACGTAAACCGTGGGATGCAGCGTCATGATTTGTACAACTTTTAATGGCCATGGGGTGTAGATTGGCCTGAGCAAATTTGGTGCCGGTGGAACGAAAGCCTTCGGATGAGTTAGCGAAATTCCAATGTGTGCGGATCGGCAAAAAATGCGAAATAGCCCTTTAACCGTACATTTGACAGATACGCCCGCACTGACTTTTTTGTAGATCTTATTGAGATACACGTGTGTGTCAAATTTTGTGTCATTTTGACAAAGCGTACAGGCGTGACACTCAATCGTGTGAATTTTTCACCTTAGGGGGCGCTATGGAGCCATTTTGCATTTGATTTTTTGGGCGACTTCAGAATATCGAATTTTTCACCAGGCCCGGTCGTCCTGCCAAATTTCATGACTTTTCACCAGTGGGAAGTGGGCCATTTTCCAGTTCAAAGGGGCAGAAAAATAATAAGAAGACTAGGGCCCCGTTGGGGCACTGGCGGGCCCGAGCCGTGTCACGCCGCCCCCAGCGCGACCGCCTCCCCCACCCGATCGCGTCACACTCAAGGTCCAAAGATGGTGTGCGCACTTGTTTGTGGTCATTTACCATTATAATGAACGGGAGGCGCAGTTTCTACCAAAACGCTCGCTGCAGAAAAACTCCATGTCCTATTTGAAAAAAGTCTGGACCATGAGTGAGGGCACAAACACAGCTTAGATATATCCAAATGGCAAGTTGCTCCTCCTTACGCTTTTGCCGAGAGAGCAGTGCGTTTGAGCCATTGAATGATGAACAGGAAAAACTTGACTTTATTCTCCTGCCATGGGGGGGCGCTCTTTTAACGAGAAAAAACTCCTTCACAAATGTGTTGATGGCTGGACATTGCATCATCCTAGAAAACTTGGAGGCCAGTGAGGACAAAAATAAAAAGTTATAAGACTTTTAAATATGTGGATTTTAGTGTTGTCTTTGGCGCCCCCTAGAACCTAAACCTTGGGGTGCAGCGTTATGATTTTGATAACTTTTAATGGCCACGGGGTGTAGATTGTCCTGAGCAAATGTGGTGCCGGTGGAACGAAAGCCTTAGGAGGAGTTAGCCACATTCCAATGTGTGCGGATCGGCAAAAAATGCGGAATAACCCTTTAACCGTACATTTGACAGATACGCGCGCATTGACTTTTTCGAAGATCTTATTCAAAGACACGTGTATGTAAAATTTTGTGTCAATACGACAAAACATACAGGCGTAGCACTCAACAATGTGTATTTTCACCTTAGTGGACAAGAAAAAATGGACTTTTTTCTCCTGCCATGGGGGGGCGCTCTTTTGGCGAGTAAAAATTCCTTCACAAATGTGTTGATGGCTGGACATTGCATCATCCTAGAAAACTTGGAGGCCAGTGGGGACAAAAATAAAAAGTTATAAGACTTTTAAATATGTGGATTTTACGGTTATCTTTGGCGCCCCCTAGAACCTAAACCGTGGGGTGCAGCGTCATGATTTGAATAACTTTTAATGGCCATGGGGTGTAGATTGGCCTGAGAAAATGTGGTGCCGGTGGAACGAAAGCCTTCGGAGGAGTTAGCGAAATTCCAATGTGTGCGGATCTGCAAAAAATTCGGAATAACCCTTTAACCGTACATTTGACAGATACGCCTGCACTGACTTTTTTGTAGATCTTATTGAGATACATGTGTGTGTCAATTTTTGTGTCATTTTGCCAAAGCGTACAGGTGTTACACTCAACAATGTGTATTTTCACCTTAGGGGACAAGAAAAAATGGACTTTTTTCTCCTGCCATGGGGGGGCGCTCTTTTGGGGAGTAAAAATTCCTTCACAAATGTGTTGATGGCTGGACATTGCATCATCCTAGAAAACTTGGAGGCCAGTGAGGGCAAAAATAAAAAGTTATAAGACTTTTAAATATGTGGATTTTAGTGTTATCTTTGGCGCCCCCTAGAACCTAAACCGTGGGGTGCAGCGTCATGATTTGAATAACTTTTAATGGCCATGGGGTGTAGATTGGCCTGAGCAAATGTGGTGCCGGTGGAACAAAGGCTTCGGAGGAGTTAGCGAAATTCCAATGTGTGCGGATCGGCAAAAAATGCGCAATAACCCTTTAACCGTACATTTGACAGATACGCCAGCACTGACTTTTTTGTAGATCTTATTGAGATACATTTGTGTGTCAATTTTTGTGTAATTTTGACAAAGCGTACAGGCGTGACAGTCAATAGTGTGAATTTTCACCTTATGGGACAAGAAAAAATGGACTTTTTTCTCCTGCCATGGGGGGGCGCTCTTTTGGGGAGTAAAAATTCCTTCACAAATGTGTTGATGGCTGGACATTGCATCATCCTAGAAAACTTGGAGGCCAGTGAGGGCAAAAATAAAAGTTATAAGACTTTGAAATATGTGGATTTTAGGGTTATCTTTGGCGCCCCCTAGAACCTAAACCGTGGGGTGCAGCGTCATGATTTGAATAACTTTTAATGGCCATGGGGTGTAGATTGGCCTGAGCAAATGTGGTGCCGGTGGAACGAAAGCCTTCGGAGGAGTTAGCGAAATTCCAATGTGTGCGGATCGGCAAAAAATGCGCAATAACCCTTTAACCGTACATTTGACAGATATGCCCGCACTGACTTTTTTGTAGATCTTATTGAGATACATGTGTGTGTCAATTTTTGTGTCATTTTGACATAGCGTACAGGCGTCAGGTGAATTTTTCACCTTAGGGGGCGCTATGGAGCCATTTTGCATTGTATTGTTTGGGCGACTTCAGAATATCAAATTTTTCACCAGGCCCGGTCGTCCTGCCAAATTTCATGAGTTTTCGCCAGTGTGAAGTGGGCCATTTTCCAGTTCAAAGGGGAGGAAAAAGAAAAAAGAAACTAGGACCCCGTTGGGGCACTGGCGGGCCCGAGCCGTGTCGCGTCTCCCCCCCCCCACCCCCCCACCCCCCAACGTGCTGCCTCCCCGTCCCATTTGTGTCCTCTGGCCATCGCCCTCTCTGTTAACGCCCATCACTGCAAAGACCCTTTTCCTTCATCGGCGTTTGCTGTTCTTCCTGCCAGTGCGTGTTGCTTTCACTTACACTTGCCACAGCCAGCCTCGTGAGTGCCTAGCCTATTGGATATCACTGTCACCTACACAGGACAGTCATTACCTTTCTATTAATACTTTGTGTTTTAATTTCACATTAATTTCCATATTGTATAAACGACTGGAAAAAACTTGAGCCCCTGCCCCTGTATAATCATGTGCATGTCTCTGTTCTAGCTCCAAGGTGAATCTTCACTGCTCATGTTCTCCTCAGAAGCACTCACCTCACTCCCCTCAGGTTACTGTACACATGCACCAACTGCCTGCTTCAGGTTTGGATGGAGCTTCATGGTTGTCTTTTGGAGAAATGACCAGTCAAGTTGTGTTTGAAATTTGATTTTTTTCAGGGGCAAAAGGAGCCTCTGCATTCTTGTCAAATATGTAAATAGCATGTTTTTGCAGGTGCTAAAAACCAGACTCTGAGTGTGTGTGTGTGTGTGTGTGTGTGTGTGTGTGTGTGTGTGTGTGTGTGTGTGTGTGTGTGGCGTGTGTGTGTGTCTATGTGTGCGTTCAAGTCACATGACATATTTAACCGGATGTAGCTGCAAGACGGAGCCTCGTTGACTCTCCGTTTCAACTTATCTCAAAAGTGAGGACCTCAACCTATATACCAGTTTTTAAATTGTGTTGATAGGCCAAATAAAACCAGAGTTATGATAAATTATGTCCGCGATACTTTTTTTCTGCTTATTTTGATCACGTTCGGCGCTCGATCGCGCTGTATGAGACAGGAAAACATAGCATGCAGACATTAGCGACAGGTCTTACAGGCGGAAAAGGCTTGCCAAAAGAAAAAAAAAACACACCACAACATCTCTCCTATTGGTGGAAAACTTCACCACAACAACCAATCCAAAATTATATGGTGACTGATTGACAAGGGGCGGGCGCTTACGTTCTTCCTGCAACATGAGAAGGGAGGGAGGGACTCTCAGCAGGGATGCAGTCTGGGACACGTAGTTGCAAACCTAGCGACTTTGTTGTTAGATTCAATGACTTTTCAGACACCCTAACGACTTTTTTAGAAAGAAAGGGACTTTTATCGACTTCTTCTGGAGTTTAGAGACTCTGACATGAAGCAGGCTTTCCTTACTGAGGAGTTAGCAACGCTGCTAAGGGTGCAGAGCCACACATGCGCTCAGAGCTCTGCATGGGAGACTGAAGCTGACAGAGCTGCAGCAGTTAGCAGGTTTCACCCTCAGAGACCACCAGGGGTTCATGTTGAGGCATTTTAATTTTTTTTTTTTTTGTGCCATAGACACTGTCAGCACAATCTGCAGTTACACTAACAAAAATGCTGCAAAAAACAAATAATTATGGAAAAATTACACATGGACTGACATAGAGGAGGATCTACACAAGTTTTTTACATCATGTTTTACATCATGCATCATTTACATCATGTTTTTTTGTAGTGGCATAAATAAAAAGTGACATTTGTGAGACTATACAGTGTTTTGTAAATAATTTTACAAAGAACGCCTGGGCCATTGCCTGCATTTTGATGTAAATAGAGGTAAATTACTATGTTCTTTGTTAAAAATTTGCATATGTTTTGAAGTTTACAATTTTTATTTGAAGTTTAAGTTTTAAAAACAGTTCATCACACATATTTGTGGTTTAATTTCACATTAATTTCCATATTGTATAAATGACTGGAAAAATCTTGAGCCCCTGCCCCTGTATAATCATGTGCACGTCCCTGTTCTAGCTCCAAGGTGAATCTTCACTGCTCATGTTCTCCTCAGAAATAGTCACCTCACTCCCCTCAGGTTACTGTACACATGCACCAACTATCTGCTTCAGGTTTGAAATGGAGCTTCATGGTTGTCTTTTGGAGAAATGAACAGTCAAGTTGTGTTTGAAATTTGATTTTTTTCAGGGGCAAAAGGAAGCCTCTGCATTCTTGTCAAATATGTAAACAGCATGTTTTTGCAGGTGCTAAAAAACAGACTCTGAGTGTGTGTGTGTGTCTGTGTGTGTGTGTGTGTGTGTGTGTGTGTGTGTGTGTATGTTGGCGTGTGTGTATATGTGTGTGTATCCTGCAGTACTCTGTACTCCTGCAGTGGCCAAAAAGACTTTTAAGAATGTGGATTTTTGGGTCATCTTTGGCGCCCCCTAGAACTGCAGTACTCTGTACTCCTGCAGTGGCCAAAATGACTTTTAAGAATGTGGATTTTTGGGTCATCTTTGGCGCCCCCTAGAACGTAAACCGTGGGGTGCAGCGTCATGATTTTTACAACTTTGAATGGGCATGGGGTGTAGATTGCCCTGAGCAAATTTGGTATCGGTGGGACGAAAGCCTTAGGAGGAGATAGCCACATTCCAATGTGTGCGAATCGGCAAAAAATGCAAAATAGCCCTTTAACCGTACATTATACAGATACGCGCTCTTTGACTTTTTCGTAGATCTAATTGAGATACACATGATTGTCAATTTTTGTGTCAATATGACAAAGCGTTCAGGCGTGACACTCAACAATGTGTATTTTTATGTAAGGGGACAAGAAAAAATTGACTTTTTTCTCCTACCATGGGGGGGCGCTCTTTTGGGGAGTAAAAATTCCTTCACAAATGTGTTGATGGCTGGACATTGCATCATCCTAGAAAACTTGGAGGCCAGTGAGGACAAAAATAAAAAGTTATAAAACATTTAAGAATGTGGATTTTTGGGTTATCTTTGGCGCCCCCTAGAACCTAAACCGTGGGGTGCAGCATCATGATTTGAATAACTTTTAATGGCCATGGGGTGTAGATTGGCCTGAGCAAATGTGGTGCCGGTGGAACGAAAGCCTTCGGAGGAGTTAGCGAAATTCCAATGTGTGCGTATCGGCAAAAAATGCGGAATAACCCTTTAACTGTACATTTGACAGATACGCGCGCATGGACTTTTTTGTAGATCTTATTGAGTTACATGTGTGTGTCAATTTTTGTGTCATTTTGACAAAGCGTATAGGCGTGACACTCAACAATGTGTATTTTCACCTTAGGGGACAAGAAAAAATGGACTTTTTTCTCCTGCCATGGGGGGGCGCTCTTTTGGGGAGTAAAAATTCCTTCACAAATGTGTTGATGGCTGGACATTGCATCATCCTAGAAAACTTGGAGGCCAGTGAGGACAAAAATAAAAAGTTATAAGACTTTTAAATATGTGGATTTTAGTGTTATCTTTGGCGCCCCCTAGAACCTAAACCTTGGGGTGCAGCGTCATGATTTTGATAACTTTTAATGGCCACGGGGTGTAGATTGGCCTGAGCAAATGTGGTGCTGGTGGAACGAAAGCCTTCGGAGGAGTTAGCGAAATTCCAATGTGTGCGGATCGGCAAAAAATGCGAAATAACCCTTTAACCGTAATTTTGACAGATACGGCCGCACTGACTTTTTTGTAGATCTTATTGAGATACATATGTGTGTCAATTTTTGTGTCAATATGACAAAGCGTACAGGCGTGACAGTCAATAGTGTGAATTTCCACCTTAGGGGGCGCTATGGAGCCATTTTGCATTTTAATGTTTGGGCGACTTCAGAATATCAAATTTTTCACCAGGCCCGGTCGTCCTGCCAAATTTCATGAGTTTTCGCCAGTGGGAAGTGGGCCATTTTCCAGTTCAAAGGGGAGGAAAAAGAAGAAAGAAAGAAAGAAAAAGAAAGAAACAAAGAAAAACCACTTGGGGAATAATAGGGCCTACGCCCGGCTGCTCTGCAGCTGGCTCGGGCCCTAACAAAGAAAAACCACTTGGGGAATAATAGGGCTCTCGCAGCTGCTTAGCAGCTACGCTCGGGCCCTAACTAGGACCCCGTTGGGGCACTGGCGGGCCCGAGCCGTGTCGCGTCTCCCCCCCCCCCCCCCCCAACATGCTGCCTCCCCGTCCCATTTGTGTCCTCTGGCCATCGCCCTCTCTGTTAACGCCCATCACTGCAAAGACCCTTTTCCTTCATCGGCGTTTGCTGTTCTTCCTGCCAGTGCGTGTTGCTTTCACTTACACTTGCCACAGCCAGCCTCGTGAGTGCCTAGCCTATTGGATATCACTGTCACCTACACAGGACAGTCATTACCTTTCTATTAATACTTTGTGTTTTAATTTCACATTAATTTCCATATTGTATAAACGACTGGAAAAAACTTGAGCCCCTGCCCCTGTATAATCATGTGCATGTCTCTGTTCTAGCTCCAAGGTGAATCTTCACTGCTCATGTTCTCCTCAGAAGCAGTCACCTCACTCCCCTCAGGTTACTGTACACATGCACCAACTGCCTGCTTCAGGTTTGGATGGAGCTTCATGGTTGTCTTTTGGAGAAATGACCAGTCAAGTTGTGTTTGAAATTTGATTTTTTTCAGGGGTAAAAGGAGCCTCTGCATTCTTGTCAAATATGTAAATAGCATGTTTTTGCAGGTGCTAAAAACCAGACTCTGAGTGTGTGTGTGTGTGTGTGTGTGTGTGTGTGTGTGTGTGTGTGTGTGTGTGTGTGTGTGTGTGTGCGTGTGTGTGTGTCTGTGTGTGCGTTCAAGTCACATGACATATTTAACCGGATGTAGCTGCAAGACGGAGCCTCGTTGACTCTCCGTTTCAACTTATCTCAAAAGTGAGGACCTCAACCTATATACCAGTTTTTAAATTGTGTTGATAGGCCAAATAAAACCAGAGTTATGATAAATTATGTCCGCGATACTTTTTTTCTGCTTATTTTGATCACGTTCGGCGCTCGATCGCGCTGTATGAGACAGGAAAACATAGCATGCAGACATTAGCGACAGGTCTTACAGGCGGAAAAGGCTTGCCAAAAGAAAAAAAAAACACACCACAACATCTCTCCTATTGGTGGAAAACTTCACCACAACAACCAATCCAAAATTATATGGTGACTGATTGACAAGGGGCGGGCGCTTACGTTCTTCCTGCAACATGAGAAGGGAGGGAGGGACTCTCAGCAGGGATGCAGTCTGGGACACGTAGTTGCAAACCTAGCGACTTTGTTGTTAGATTCAATGACTTTTCAGACCCCCTAACGACTTTTTTTTAGAAAGAAAGGGACTTTTATCGACTTCTTCTGGAGTTTAGAGACTCTGACATGAAGCAGGCTTTCCTTACTGAGGAGTTAGCAACGCTGCTAAGGGTGCAGAGCCACACATGCGCTCAGAGCTCTGCATGGGAGACTGAAGCTGACAGAGCTGCAGCAGTTAGCAGGTTTCACCCTCAGAGACCACCAGGGGTTCATGTTGAGGCATTTTAATTTTTTTTTTTTTTGTGCCATAGACACTGTCAGCACAATCTGCAGTTACACTAACAAAAATGCTGCAAAAAACAAAGAATTATGGAAAAATTACACATGGACTGACATAGAGGAGGATCTACACAAGTTTTTTACATCATGTTTTACATCATGCATCATTTACATCATGTTTTTTTGTAGTGGCATAAATAAAAAGTGACATTTGTGAGACTATACAGTGTTTTGTAAATAATTTTACAAAGAACGCCTGGGCCATTGCCTGCATTTTGATGTAAATAGAGGTAAATTACTATGTTCTTTGTTAAAAATTTGCATATGTTTTGAAGTTTACAATTTTTATTTGAAGTTTAAGTTTTAAAAACAGTTCATCACACATATTTGTGGTTTAATTTCACATTAATTTCCATATTGTATAAATGACTGGAAAAAACTTGAGCCCCTGCCCCTGTATAATCATGTGCACGTCCCTGTTCTAGCTCCAAGGTGAATCTTCACTGCTCATGTTCTCCTCAGAAATAGTCACCTCACTCCCCTCAGGTTACTGTACACATGCACCAACTATCTGCTTCAGGTTTGAAATGGAGCTTCATGGTTGTCTTTTGGAGAAATGAACAGTCAAGTTGTGTTTGAAATTTGATTTTTTTCAGGGGCAAAAGGAAGCCTCTGCATTCTTGTCAAATATGTAAACAGCATGTTTTTGCAGGTGCTAAAAAACAGACTCTGAGTGTGTGTGTGTGTCTGTGTGTGTGTGTGTGTGTGTGTGTGTGTGTATGTTGGCGTGTGTGTATATGTGTGTGTATCCTGCAGTACTCTGTACTCCTGCAGTGGCCAAAAAGACTTTTAAGAATGTGGATTTTTGGGTCATCTTTGGCGCCCCCTAGAACTGCAGTACTCTGTACTCCTGCAGTGGCCAAAATGACTTTTAAGAATGTGGATTTTTGGGTCATCTTTGGCGCCCCCTAGAACGTAAACCGTGGGGTGCAGCGTCATGATTTTTACAACTTTGAATGGGCATGGGGTGTAGATAGCCGTGAGCAAATTTGGTATCGGTGGGACGAAAGCCTTTGGAGGAGATAGCCACATTCCAATGTGTGCGAATCGGCAAAAAATGCAAAATAGCCCTTTAACCGTACATTATACAGATACGCGCTCTTTGACTTTTTCGTAGATCTAATTGAGATACACATGATTGTCAAATTTTGTGTCAATATGACAAAGCGTTCAGGTGTGACACTCAACAATGTGTATTTTTATGTAAGGGGACAAGAAAAAATTGCCTTTTTTCTCCTACCATGGGGGGGCGCTCTTTTGGGGAGTAAAAATTCCTTCACAAATGTGTTGATGGCTGGACATTGCATCATCCTAGAAAACTTGGAGGCCAGTGAGGACAGAAATAAAAAGTTATAAAACATTTAAGAATGTGGATTTTTGGGTTATCTTTGGCGCCCCCTAGAACCTAAACCATGGGGTGCAGCATCATGATTTGAATAACTTTTAATGGCCATGGGGTGTAGATTGGCCTGAGCAAATGTGGTGCCGGTGGAACGTAAGCCTTCGGAGGAGTTAGCGAAATTCCAATGTGTGCGTATCGGCAAAAAATGCGGAATAACCCTTTAACTGTAAATTTGACAGATACGCGCGCACTGACTTTTTTGTAGATCTTATTGAGTTACATGTGTGTGTCAATTTTTGTGTCATTTTGACAAAGCGTATAGGCGTGACACTCAACAATGTGTATTTTCACCTTAGGGGACAAGAAAAAATGGACTTTTTTCTCCTGCCATGGGGGGGCGCTCTTTTGGGGAGTAAAAATTCCTTCACAAATGTGTTGATGGCTGGACATTGCATCATCCTAGAAAACTTGGAGGCCAGTGAGGACAAAAATAAAAAGTTATAAGACTTTTAAATATGTGGATTTTAGTGTTATCTTTGGCGGCCCCTAGAACCTAAACCTTGGGGTGCAGCGTCATGATTTTGATAACTTTTAATGGCCACGGGGTGTAGATTGGCCTGAGCAAATGTGGTGCCGGTGGAACGAAAGCCTTCGGAGGAGTTAGCGAAATTCCAATGTGTGCGGATCGGCAAAAAATGCGAAATAACCCTTTAACCGTAATTTTGACAGATACGGCCGCACTGACTTTTTTGTAGATCTTATTGAGATACATATGTGTGTCAATTTTTGTGTCAATATGACAAAGCGTACAGGCGTGACAGTCAATAGTGTGAATTTCCACCTTAGGGGGCGCTATGGAGCCATTTTGCATTTTATTGTTTGGGCGACTTCAGAATATCGAATTTTTCACCAGGCCCGGTCGTCCTGCCAAATTTCATGAGTTTTCGCCAGTGGGAAGTGGGCCATTTTCCAGTTCAAAGGGGAGGAAAAATAATAACTAGGGCCCCGTTGGGGCACTGGCGGGCCCGAGCCGTGTCACGCCGCCCCCAGCACGACCGCCTCCCCCACCCGATCGCGTCACACTCAAGGTCCAAAGATGGTGTGCGCACTTGTTTGTGGTCATTTACCATTATAATGAACGGGAGGCGCAGTTTCTACCAAAACGCTCGCTGCAGAAAAACTCCATGTCCTATTTGAAAAAAGTCTGGACCATGAGTGAGGGCACAAACACAGCTAAGATATATCCAAATGGCAAGTTGCTCCTCCTTTCGCTTTTGCCGAGAGAGCAGTGCGTTTGAGCCATTGAATGATGAACAGGAAAAACTTGACTTTATTCTCCTGCCATGGGGGGGCGCTCTTTTAACGAGAAAAAACTCCTTCACAAATGTGTTGATGGCTGGACATTGCATCATCCTAGAAAACATGGAGGCCAGTGAGGACAAAAATAAAAAGTTATAAGACTTTTAAATATGTGGATTTTAGGGTTATCTTTGGCGCCCCCTAGAACCTAAACCGTGGGGTGCAGCGTCATGATTTGAATAACTTTTAATGGCCATGGGGTGTAGATTGGCCTGAGCAAATGTGGTGCCGGTGGAACGAAAGCCTTCGGAGGAGTTAGCGAAATTCCAATGTGTGCGAATCTGCAAAAAATGCGAAATAACCCTTTAACCGTACATTTTACAGATACGCGGCCATTGACTTTTTCGAAGATCTTATTGAAAGACACGTGTATGTAAAATTTTGTGTCAATACGACAAAACATACAGGCGTAGCACTCAACAATGTGTATTTTCACCTTAGGGGACAAGAAAAAATTGACTTTTTTCTCCTGCCATGGGGGGGCGCTCTTTTGCCGAGTAAAAATTCCTTCACAAATGTGTTGATGGCTGGACATTGCATCATCCTAGAAAACTTGGAGGCCAGTGAGGGCAAGATAAAAAGTTATAAGACTTTTAAATATGTGGATCTTAGGGTTATCTTTGGCACCCCCTAGAACCTAAACCGTGGGGTGCAGCGTCATGATTTGAATAACTTTTAATGGCCATGGGGTGTAGATTGGCCTGAGCAAATGTGGTGCCGGTGGAACGAAAGCCTTCGGAGGAGTTAGCGAAATTCCAATGTGTGCGGATCGGCAAAAAATGCGAAATAACCCTTTAACCATACATTTGACAGATACGCCCGCACTGACTTTTTTGTAGATCTTATTGAGATACATGTGTGTGTCAATTTTTGTGTCATTTTGACAAAGCGTACAGGCGTGACAGTCAATAGTGTGAATTTTCACCTTAGGGGGCGTTATGGAGCCATTTTGCATTTTCTTGTTTGGGCGACTTCGGAATATCAAATTTTTCACCAGGCCCGGTCGTCCTGCCAAATTTCATGAGTTTTCGCCAGTGGGAAGTGGGCCATTTTCCAGTTCAAAGGGGAGGAAAAATAATAACTAGGGCCCCGTTGGGGCACTGGCGGGCCCGAGCCGTGTCACGCCGCCCCCAGCGCGACCGCCTCCCCCACCCGATCGCGTCACACTCAAGGTCCAAAGATGGTGTGCGCACTTGTTTGTGGTCATTTACCATTATAATGAACGGGAGGCGCAGTTTCTACCAAAACGCTCGCTGCAGAAAAACTCCATGTCCTATTTGAAAAAAGTCTGGACCATGAGTGAGGGCACAAACACAGCTAGGATATATCCAAATGGCAAGTTGCTCCTCCTTTCGCTTTTGCCGAGAGAGCAGTGCGTTTGAGCCATTGAATGATGAACAGGAAAAACTTGACTTTATTCTCCTGCCATGGGGGGGCGCTCTTTTAAAGAGAAAAAACTCCTTCACAAATGTGTTGATGGCTGGACATTGCATCATCCTAGAAAACATGGAGGCCAGTGAGGACAAAAATAAAAAGTTATAAGACTTTTAAATATGTGGATTTTAGGGTTATATTTGGCGCCCCCTAGAACCTAAACCGTGGGGTGCAGCGTCATGATTTGAATAACTTTTAATGGCCATGGGGTGTAGATTGGCCTGAGCAAATGTGGTGCCGGTGGAATGAAAGCCTTCGGAGGAATTAGCGAAATTCCAATGTGTGCGAATCTGCAAAAAATGCGAAATAACCCTTTAACCGTACATTTTACAGATACGTGGCCATTGACTTTTTCGAAGATCTTATGTAAATACACGTGTAATGTAAAATTTTGTGTCAATACGACAAAACATACAGGCGTAGCACTCAACAATGTGTATTTTCACCTTAGTGGACAAGAAAAAATTGACTTTTTTCTCCTGCCATGGGGGGCGCTCTTTTGCCGAGTAAAAATTCCTTCACAAATGTGTT